TAAAAGGGATATACAAACAATAAACCAAGAGAGTGACCTGGATAATTTTCCTATATTGGATAAGTTAAAGTTTTGAAGAGTCTCATGACAAAGGGCAAAGAAAAAATGAAAAGAAATCAAGTTCTAGGACATTATTTGTAGGGACTAAAGACCAAGATTGTTAGAAGTAAAAGGAAGGTTTATTTGATCAAGGTTAAAATAGATATGTTGTTATCTTTAGTAATCCTTAATGGACTTTTGGTTTATGGATTTGTTTATAGATAAGAGATGGGATATGGGAAGAAGAGATCATTTGTTGTATTTTAAGAGGAGGTGATAAGTTACTAAAATTGTTTATATTTGTTGTGATGAAGGGGGAAATCACTTCTTTATATATTTCTTTTTTTTTCCTTTACTATATTCTTATTTTTTTCCTTTCTTTTCTATTTCTCTCTTTATTTTTTCCTTCTTTTTTTCTCATAATCATAATATTTAATAAAATTACTGTATTAAAAAAAAAGAGACATTGAGCCATGTCCCGTGTTCCTCACTGAAATGTATCATAGCTCAAGTGCACTGGTTTATCTACACAGGTTTTTCCAGCATATTAAACTTTAATGTGGGGCCATCTTCAAAGGACGTCAATTTATTACATCAACATTTTTTGAGCATCCCGCAAATTTCCCATTTTCTTCTAGTTCAGTAATTCCTGGCAAGTCTATTTTTATCAATGGAGAAAGTTTGCTAGCACATCAACTTTGATATCAGTTAAGTTTCTTCCCACAGAAAGTTTTAGCTATTTGATGCATCAAACTTTCACTTTTCTATGGATCAACTAAATTCTAAAATAAAAAAGATAAAGCAGGACTATCTAATGTTATTTTAGAAATATTAGTCTTGGGATCTTTTGCCTTCATCTGCCAATGCTTTCATGTTTCTCTGTAAGATGCCATGGGGAAGTCTTTAATGCAATATTTTGCAGGAGAAAGCATGAGGAATCCCAAGTTCCAGTAAAATAGTATTTATTCAGCCCAGCACATTTCAGAAAAATATTCCTTACTGAAGAACAACGAAAACGATCCCAAAAAAATGCAATATCCATGAATTATAACATATTGATAAAAAGGTGATTCAAAATAATTAAGTCTAAAATAGAATAGCCTCACATTAACAGATACAAGCACTAAAAAAAGCACATCTGTAAGTATCAGAAACAAGAATGCTATTATAATGGGCACAAAAATAATTGTTTACAAGAAACACAAGCATATCTTAGACATGCAGTGTATGCTTTCCTCTGTTGTAACTAGAAATAAAGAGGAAAGAGGAAACCAAGCACAAAAAGTATTTTTTTAAAAAACATCAGATACCTTCAATCTGATATGCTGCTGTTGCTGAGCCCCAGGCAAATTGTTCTGGGAAAGTAATACTTTCAAGATTCCAGTTGTCATCATCTGGAGAGGAGATGGCATCACTAGAAACTGGAGAGGGACCAGAATCCATGGGAAGACCGGCCATTCTGTCCATCAGCAAGGACTTCTCCTTTTCATCCCCAAGACAATTTCTGAAATTAAGGGAACAGAAATGGAATGTGAGTTTTAGCCATTAGGAATAAATCATGGTTCATTCATAATCCAAATGGCATATATTCAGACTGTAGTATTGAAGCTCTGTATCCTAAGAACCATCTACGAAGACACTTGGGTTTTGTGTTCAGGAAATAACCTAATCCAACATTCCTTTGAAGAAAATATGTTTATCTCCCCAACAGAAAGAGTCCTGTCAAAACCAGAGCAGGATCTGTTATTTTAAAGATTCCCAAGTATCAACAGAAGGGAACACCATACACTAGTGCTAGACAATCTCAAAAATAAAATATTGTTTTCAGCACAGAGTTCCCCAGTAGACAAAAAAATTTAAAAGTGAGGGCTACTACTTTTGGTCACAAATCTGTGCAATTTGTCAACAGAACAAAATGAATGGGCATCACGTTGATTATTGCAGACAGATTGTAAGTGGACCAAAATCACCCCAGGAGGTTTCATAGTTGAAGGTGGGCTTGAATCTGGATCTAACAACCACAACTACTGCACTAATTGGTTTCTCCGGGGGGCATTTTGAACAATTTGCTTGGGTAACTCTTCACTTTGATGTGTAGACTTAAATAGTGGGCCACAATGTCAGACACACATTAACACAGACAAATTCTATCCATAGTAGAATTCCATCTACATAGAATATTGGATGCTTGGGGTGATGGAAAATAAATTCTCTAACCTGAAAATTGTTAAGCACCACAAAGAAATGGCTCACTAGATAGTAAAAGCAATAGTGTAGCAGAATCTGGATCCCAGAAATAATCATAGGAATAATATCCAGCAACAAGAGCAGTTCTGCCTCAGGTATCCAAGTAATGTGGATTACACACTCATCTGCTTTCTAGGGGCAACTCAAGGATATTAGCTTGAATGTGTAAAAGCATAGCAACAGGTTTGCTAGCAAATATTTTGTGACTGAAAAGGGAACAAATACAGGGTCATGTATTTGAGACCATATAAATGGAATAAACACAAAAATGAGGTAGTGAAAACTATTTCAAGGGGAGATCTACCAACCTTGGGAATCCACTACAGTAAAAGAGATCAATGTTATTGTTTCTAGCTCACCCCAAAAAGACACTATATTTCTTACTTCTTTCTTTAACTTGCCCATTTGTGGAAAAAAACAAAACGAAACGAAACAGAAAATGGAATATAGAAACTACTAATATTGGCCTCCCAGAAGAAATAAATTTTCTTCATTCAAGTCAAAACTCAAGGGCTTTCAAAGCTAAAGTGTTTTTAAAATAGCACACCAGATGGCACTATTGCAACTTTATTGTTTGGATATTGAAAATACTATTCCTCTTCTGTCAGTATAAAACACACCCATATTGATTTATGGTCAGGTCATTATTCATATTCATTAAGCCACGGGCAACATGTATCTATGACATAAAAGTGTGTTGGAGAGGGGAGCAAACTCTTAAATGCATTGTAGACTTGGGTTATATTTGCCTCCCTTAGTCTAAAAAAACTGTCTCCCCAGAAAGCTGATCTAAACTGGCATTAAGTTTGATTTCGGCCAGACCTCAATGCATAGGTAGGTTTAGTTAACTACCTCCAAAAGATTAAAGCCAGAAATGTCAAGAATGGTTGCACAGAAATTTTAAAACAACCAGATCTGTATGAAACAACTGTTACTCCGTTCTGTATGGTATATTAATTACATTTAAATGTTATTCCTCTTTCAAGAAGTTGTTATGACATATTGTCACTGGAAGGGTCAATGCAGAGGAAGAACTTGAGCAGAAGTCTCCATGATCCAACTCTCAAGTCAACACATGAGCCTAAGAAGACATCAGCCTTGGAAACTAGATTTCAGTTTGCAATGAAGAAGAACTTTGGATAGTTTTCACTTCCAATGAGGGAATTAAATTTCCCCATTTTCCAATAATTGTAAAATTTGCAGCAGTAACAAGGAATTTTGTGAAAGTTGGCCGGAAAAACTCTATAGTTTTGTCAGTTTACACCCACCAGTTGTCTTGATTGATGTGGAGATAAAAACTGAGCCCCCTGAGACTATATTGGAAAACATAATTGAGTCTGGTGTGTTACATTTTCTTATGCAAATATTAAATAGAGAACTGGAAACAGTAAAAACAAGTGTACCAATAGCACTCTTTTTTATGAAAACACTGATTAGAATGTCTTCCTAAAATTGCTTAAATGGTTCATAAACAGGTTGGCTGACTGAGATGAAGGTGAAGAAAAACAACAGATTTGGGGTGGGTGCAGAAAACCATTAATCCGTGGCAGAGAAAATGGCATTACTTGCAATCTATTTAGCACCTTCATTAATGTTCTGAAAGAAGGAGGAACAGCCAGATTAATTAGATCTGCAGATATGAAGAGTGGGAGGAGCAGAAAAATTAGAAACACAGGGAGAATTTAATAGAGCCAATCACCTTGGAAAGTGACAAACGATAGCACACAGGAGAAAGATCATAGTGGCAAAAGAGGAATCTGACAAGAGTCCGCCATTTCACTTAGCTGAAAACTACTGGTTGGTTCAAGATGGTACCCTGTTTTCTTTCAGGAATCTTTTTGTAGAAATACTGGTCTTGTGGCCCATGGCATCCAGAACAAATCCATACAAAATCTAGCCCCCCAGTTTGTAAGCAGCAATTACACAGAAGACAGGATGGGCTCCCTCAGTCAGTCCAGAAAACCAAGAAAACATCAGCAAGTTGCTCAGGCTAGAGGAAATGTTAGAGAATTGTAGTAGCGGGATGGTGTAGAAACAACATTTGTTTACCAATCTTCCAGGACCAGGACAATGCTCTCTTGATGCTCATATGTAAGTACGAGGCTTAGATATCTTTAGAAACAATTTTCCCATCTTGGCTCAGGAAATGGGCAGCCAGGTGAAAAGATCCCTTGGAGTGAGTGCTAAAGATCAAGAACTGTGATTTGTATAAAATAAGTCCACCCTGTTATTCTAATTTTGAGAGAAAATGAAAACCGTTCTTTTTCAGAAAGGAAAGAATGAACTGGAATCATTCGATGTGTTGGATATGACAAGCACACCTCTAGAGCAGTGTTTCTCAACCTTAGCCACTCTAAGATGTGTGGACTTCAACTCATGCCCACTGGGGGAATTCTGGGAGTTGAGGTCCATGCATCTTAAAGTGGCCAAAGTCGAGAAACACTGCTCTAAAAGTCTAACATTTGGCCATATCAGATCAGCCTTATCAACTCTCCTGATCATGTACTAATCCAATCAAAGTGGGCCTCCCAGCTATCTGGGTCAATCAAGCTAAGGTCAAGTAATTTTGAAGAATAACCTTTCTTTTTCCACATTCTGTATAATGTCATCATCCTCCCAGGATTTCTCTTTGGTTTGATTAGATAATGTAGAGGAGTGTGAAGATACCTTGGTAAGAGAGAATAAATGAAAACTAAATCGTTGGAAAGAAGGGAGCATCAGAAAAATACTCAAAATAGCCACTGTTTGGGAAACTCTGGCAGGCTTTCAAAATTTTGTTATTCTACCCTACAACAATAAAATAGCGTTTCAGGAACCCTTGCAATATCTGTTTCCTGACATGGCTTACCTCAAAGGTTGATAGCCAATGCCTGTTCAGATGTGTTCCAACTGTTGTTATGAGTTTTAGAACTACAGTCTTCCAGGATCAGTAATTTGGCTATCATCCACTTACACATTTGGGACAACTACATTCTTAACCAAGTAGAAATGAAAGTCTCAGAGTCCAAAAGTTATGACTCCTCCCCGCTTTCTTGGAAACCTTGGTGACCCCAGTAAGATGTGATTCCTGAAGACCAGAGATGAATTTCTCCCTTTTTGCCAGAGAAAACATGCTACCTCCTGCTTTGCATCTCTCACCTGCTAAAATGAAATTGAGAAGAAATTTCTCAAGGGTTACATTGCAAAGGCACATTATAGCAGTGAATTTCCAGCCAAGGAAGGGCAGGAAAAGAGACCCCCAGAGCTTTGAAATATTGTGGTGATTTTATTTTGACTTCTTGATATAATTTTGGGGTCTAGACCTAGACTACACCTAAAATTCACTTTAAAAAGGGCAGGACTTTGATCACATGGTTGCCTTTTTTTACCCCAGACCCCGTGGACACCTGTTCTTTCCACTAGAGTGATCCAACAGGAGTTTTGGAAAATGTTGCCTTTTGAACCCACTTCTATCTCTGGGGAAGATTTCTATCTCCCCAATTTTTATTCCAGTCTCCTTAAAGTAAATGTTACGTTTTCTTGTTTTTGAGTTTGTATTTTCCTCTTTATGTTCTGTTTTGAACTGAATCATTCATTTCCCCCAGTTAAAATAATTAGATCTGGTAGTATTTTTGCTGATCCCTAAAGAAATTCCTTCAGAGCTTTCATTTTGCCTGTTTTATAGGAATCAATTAAAAAAAAAACCTCATTTAATTGGAAGACAGAAATATGTGTGGTTGCGGTTTTCAATAGCCTCCAATACATGTTTGGCTGTTTTTTTTAAGATCTCTTAGTCAATATGGATTAAGAGGTAGTTCAAATTTTGAACTGTGTTCCTGAGATATCTGGCAATTGGTAAGGGGGATAAATGACAAAAGGTGAGTGACAACGTCATAATGCAAATACAAGTTACATACTTCCATCCAACACAGTTGTCTTTGTGTGATAATGTATCTGCTTGTCATTGTGGTTGGCTTCAAATGCCATTAATAACAGGTACAAAAGGAAATCCTTTTCAAATTTTGCTTTCAGATCTGGAACACTGAATGGCCTCTAGGCTACAATGAACAGTCCAATGTTCAAAAATATTATTTCTAATTGCCCAAAAACAAAACTTTTGCCCACAAAGAGTAGGTTTTATGGAGAAGGATTTCCCAAGACAATAAACCATTGTAGAATAAATTGTATGGATTACTGTAATGCATTTGATTCTTTACTCATCCATGTTGGCCTCCATCAGCCACCATTATTCCAACTCCACATTGTCCTCCATCAG